TTAAGCCCCCGACAACATAGCTCCTAGGTTCATTCGGATACTCAAACCCCTCCACCACGTTAAGGTTGCGGTTCAAGGAGGGGTGTTGACAGAATACTATACCAAAGTTAAATTTTGGTATTTAAGGCCGGTTTTTGACGTGATTTATTTTGTGTGATTGCTTAAACAGAAAGTTGGTAGAACTTTTTAATACTTAATTAATAATTATTTATCAATTACCGTAATTTCCGGCTATTTTTTTTCACACGCTTTGAAGCTTGCCGCTTAAACAACGATGCAGTTTATTTATAGGTTTTTACGGTCTAGAGAGAGAGAGAGAGAGAGAGAGAGAGATGAGCTAATAATAGAGACCCCAACTTCCCTATTTCTGTTTACCTCTGCTGCGGACAAGTACAAAGTGAAGGGAGTTAGCCCTGGAGCTAATGTTAGCTTTGACCCTGAAGCAGATCACTAAGTCCCCCTTGTGCATTCCAACTGCAGTCGGGGCTCCGAAGCAGAAAAGAGCAAACGCGTAACCAGCCGTGTTACATGCGCTGTTCAGAAAAAAAGAATTTATTTAATTAAAAATGAAAAAAAATCTTTGTGTAAATATCCCATGTTACAATGTGGACACCTGTGGCTTATAGAGACGTGCAGCCTATACTGTATATGTACAATTCTTTATTTCGTTTTAAATTTAGTGGGTGCGGCCTATATTCAGGTGCACTTAATAGTCCGAACATTACGGTAACAGTAAATTTTCAGTGTTTTGAAGCATGCGTTGACACAGCCTCTTTTTTTCTTTCCTGTCTTTGTTCAGGCACTGATGGAGAACACTAATCTGAACTTTGTCAAAACAGCATGGATATATGCAATTAATGAAAAACAGAGGATGCTGCCTTATCAGTCGTACTCTGTTGTACCCTGAACCACCACATACAAGAAAAGGTGTGTTTGAGCACAATTTTTATATTAAACAAGAAGTGGATGAAAAAAATGAGAAATGGAAAAAATATGAATAATTTCAGTTGTGTTTTAGGCTAATTTAGGATACAGTTTGTTTGTTTGTTTTGGTGTGGTTTTGCCCATTCTGCCTCATATCAATATGATAGTCATTAGTCTAATTGAAACTATAGGTTAGTTAGTTGGTTAACTTTGCTGTCATGTGAGTTCCAGAGTAAGCTAACAAGGCTTAAACACATTAGTGAGCTAGAGTGTTAATCTCTTCTAAACATCTATTTTGTAAAACAATTTTCTGTAATGTATAAATAAATAATTGTTAATGTTTACTGATTTTGCATTTGCCTCATTTTGTGCTGAGGAGACTGCTGCCTTCCAGTAAGTCTGCATTATTAGGTGTTTTTTTTTTTTACTTGTTTTGCTCATTTCGAGGAGTGTGTAGTTTTGTACATATCACATTGATATTTTCAACTTACAACAGAAGCTGGTTTTCTCACTTAGTCAAGAGCAACTACTGGTTTACTGGGTATGACATCCCATTCTGGCAGAGCTAAGCGGAGTTTGTTACTCTGGCCCTGTTGGAAGCCCAATAAATAAATGAGGATCATGTGATTTGGAGGCATTCATTATTATTTCTGGGAATTTGAATCATGATGTGGGCTGCCCTGTATGACTTGTTCAACCAATTCAGCCAGATTATTCCATCCTTTACCAGCTAAATCAGGCGTGGGCAAACTTTTTGACTCACGGGCCACAGTTGTTCTAAAATTGAACAAGGGGGCCGGGCCAGGAGCAGATAGATGGAGTGTTCGTGTGAACTTAGATAAATGCATAAACACTAAAATGCTATTATGCAATATTTCTCATTTTCTACACCAGCTATTTGGGAAACATGGGTATTGCAGGAAAATTGGGGATTCACTTTCTGGACTTCTCGACTGCCTTGAAAACCATCTGGCCCCCTTATGCTTTTTTTAATATTTTTGACTTTTTATTTTATATTTTGCTTGCATACTTCTGCTGATTTTCATTTCCCTTGAGGGAATCTCTGAAAGGGATCAATAAAGTTTTATCTAATCTTTTCAAATCATTTAATAATGTATTACCAAATATGGATTGTGGATCAAATTGATGACAAACTTATTTACTTGTATAAGGCTATGAAGCTGTACATAGCTCATACCATATTGTTTATAAGGGCATTATTCATTTCACATTATATAAATTTTAATAGAACCAATAGACCAGGAACTCAACCTTTCAAAACTTCAAACTACTTCTCTGTGCCTAAAAGTAATATTGTTAATATGAACAAAGTGTAACGTACAGTAGTTTGTACTTGATCTGTACATTGAAATAGCATTTCCTAGCAGATTCAGAAACTGCCACACACACACACCTACAGACAAAAAGCAAAAACAACCACACAAAAATGTATAACGGCTGGTTTTAAAAGATAACTGACTTTGAGGGTCAGAGTCTTCACATAGTCGAAAGTTTTATTTTTCTCATAAACAGTTATGTGGCGCTTTGGCCCAGAGGCAATGTCTCTGTCATTGGTGTGGAACTCCAGGGTTCACCTCCTGGGCAAGATCAAATCCCGGTTAGGGCGGTTGGTACCTTCCAGTGGACTCACCACCTGCAGGAAGGTTTAGTCATTGTGACACAGCACTGCATTTTACTCATGACCAAAGTGAGCAGGACAGCTTAAGTGCAGGAAGCAGCATGTGGGGGACAATGCAGTTTGGATGATTAAATATTTTATATTTGAGTCAAAAAAAAAAAGAAAAATCATTCTGCTAATGCATTTTCATTTTTAAATGTGACATTTCAAAATTCATTTTGGTATGTATTTGCTATGGTAAATTTTGGAAATGAAATCTTAAAAGTGTTTTTCATTTTGATTAAGTTACAGAATGAGCAATCTTGAAGAATTATTAATCTTAATTATTAAATGTTTTCATGCCAATTGCAACCCCACCCCCGCAAATTGGGTACTGATAACATATATATTTTTTATCTGTACAAACTAGTGTATAAGTTGCTGCCACCTAGTGACTGATGGCTTGTTATCATTCAAGCATTACAGAAGTGGTACACTTATGTGCAGAGTGCCATATTCCAGTTGCCTAACAGAACTCTTCAACCTTGACCATGACCTGGATGACTGAAAGTCTTCATAGACATATTTGTGAAGTACTGCTTTAATGCATTTTTTTTAAAATACTGTGAAATGGTTATTTTTACATCTGTTTTAACCTGTAGTCCTGCCTATGTGACAGAGAAGTACTAATGCTTCACTTTTATTTGTATTTTTGCTGCTAGTTGCTTTGTGCTAACAAACAGTATTTGATTTTTTTTCCAACCTAAAATGATAAAGTCTAATGTCTATTCAAATCTGTACCATTGACATTGTACATTAATAAATAAAGATTTATTCTTGATAAAGCAAAGAATTTTCAAAATGCTACTATTTGATCAAGCACATTTTGTGGACACGTTATTGAAAAGTAGATGTGTTTTGAGTCATATAATTAGATTTTCACAATAAGTAAACATGGAACAACATTTCAGTGTTTTATTTGTAATCAAGCTATTGATCATAGAAAAGCTATTGATGATTATACCTTCAGGTGGACATTGGGACCAGTACCTATGTTTGCTTCACCTTAATGATGCTGAAATACTTTACAAAATCCCTTAGAAGTTTCATTTCACTTTTGAAAAGGTTCTGCCCAACAAAACATAAAGGACTCCGGTAAAAGAGAGTTTCTCCACCTCCAGAAAAGCCCCACACAGATAAGAAAAATCTCTGAGATTAAACTTTCTGAAATCATGCCAAAAGTTGTATGCTGAATACTGACAGAGTATTTGCCTATGAATAAATACATTTTGTATTTCCAAATCGTTTCTGTTCATTACTGAACGACCCTAGTTTATATTTCTGTGCACTGTTTTTGATATTATTTTTATTTTGTTTTCTTCTCTTCTACGTGCACTACAACTTTAGTCACTTTAGTCCTTGCTGGACAGCTTGTAAATACTGTGTCTACCCTGCTGTTACTATTACATGTCTGTCCTGCTGCTGTAACAATTTGAATTACCCCGGTGTGGGATGATTGAAGTATTATGTTATATTGCCATATCTTATCTTAATGTGTCACAAAAAAGTCAAAATAAAAAAACGTTGTTTTTTTTTTTATTGGGGTAGGACGTGACAACAGTCACATAGGCTGTAATAGTTGTCGTGGGCGTACAATGACTTAGCAAAAAAACTCAGACCGCTGCTCACGGAACGGCTGCGGACGTGAGCAGCGGTCTAGTGATTTAATTACCTAAGTTAACCAGAGTTGTAAAACCGGTTTGCAGTTTTCGACTGCTCACTCAGATGCGTGAAGACGTTGTAGCTGAGTATTCACAGCTATGCATTTACTCGTATGCAGAAACCGCCTAGCAAGGCGGGTATTAGCACTCACGGACCGTCTTACAAACAACACGAAAGACTGGATTAGAGGATACGTCCACAACAGCTTCTGTGTACATTTCCGCGCAAAGAACACCGCTAACCCGCTGCAGGCCTTCGTTAGAAAGAACTACTCTCAAATGGCTGGTGGCCGGGGACTTGTCTTTAGACAGGTAGGCTGTGGAGTTCATTTCATCCTTATTTTATTATATAAAAACGGGGCGGATGCAGTGAAACCTAAAAACATTACCGAATTATCAAATGGTAAGCCATAGGATATGTGTTAGGTGAAGTCGTAGTTCCGGTATAACAATGCACATAACATTATGTTTCGAATTTTTCTCATTCTATTTATTTTCTACAACAACAAGGACGCTAGTGCTGACTAAAACAGTGGATGGCATGGTACTTCCGTGTTTGAAATACAGTACTTTTTTTAGAACTTTATTGAGTGTGTCGTATACAGTATCCAAAATAAAAATATCAATATTAGAAATGGAGGAAATAAAATTAACTGCAAATACTATATATGTATGTGTATATATACGCGAACTGAACATGCAGCGTTCTATTCGTCACTTGTGGCGCAGTTTACTGTTTGTCTCACAATTGGTCTAAAAAACCAGAGACATAATATCAAGAACGTAACTAGTATATTTTCTAAAATGAATACATTTTTATTGTAAATTTTACAACTTTGTTGTAGTTTTTAACTAATTAAGATAATTTATTAAAGTTTTTAAAACATATTTGGTTACAATTCCATTTTGTTAAAACATTTGTATATAATAAATATTTATACATTTTGTATTTCCAAATCGTTTTTTGTTCCTTACTGAACGATTGTGGTTTATATTTCCGTGCACTGATCAGCTTACATTTGCTCATGTTATAAAATATTTTAAACCTGCAATGCAAAAGTTTATAATTTGAAATCTGAAACATGTTTTTTCATTGACCCATTACTTATTAAGTCTTTATTTATATTTTATTTTATTTTGTGCTACGTGCACTACAACTTTAGTCACTTTATTCCTCTCTGGAAAAAGTCACTTTACTGATATACATCTTGTAAAGACCCTGCTGTTACTGTTACCGTTACATGTCTGTTGTTCTTCTGTAACAACTGAATTTCCCCAGTGTGGGGTGAATAAAGCCTTATCTTATCTTATCTTATCTTATGTTAATGTGTCACAAAAAAGTCAAATAAAAAATATTTTTGTAAGAGGTTCTGGGTTGGACATGACAACAGTCACGTAAGGCTGTTACCCCTGCGTCCCGGAAAATGTAAAGCATAATAATATTTTTATCAGGAAGTCGATGTGTCTCCACAAAATACAAATGAAACATGAATGAAATGAAATATATGCATTTCAAGGCATACTGTACAACTAAATAAATTAAAAGAAAACCAACAAGACTCTCTTCTAAGCCCTTTGGGGATCATTGCCTCAAGACAGCTGTCCCAAACTGACGCAAGGATTACCAACAACCTTTCAGAACTTCAACAGAACAGTGCACAAAAACATCCTCAGGTTCACCCTTGTGAAGGTGGTACGTCAGTTCATTTGGACATCTGGGCCCTAGATCTTGAGCTAGATAGCCGAAGCAGGGGTCAGCAAAAAATTAATTGAGTGTGTTGTTTAAATGTGTTGACATCAAGTTTTTCAATGTTAAGGTCCCACTCTAGCCCTATATCTAGCCATTATACAGAATAAGGTATCTCCACCAGGTCTGGGCACAGACATATTTCAGTGTTGGTACGATCATGGAATCATCATGGAATATTTGGAAATGTATTTGACTGATAATAATTTGCTATCACTGGAGCAGTGTCACTGGAATATAAAATATGCTATACCTTCTCATCATATCTAGACTATCTTCAGGTCAAACATTTCATATTTCTATGGAAAACTACAGTCCCTCATCAATGTAATATTGTCAAAACTAAAAGTCTATGGAACAAGGACTTAACAACTGAGTTCGGAGAGCAAGCGTGGCACAATGCAGTGGAATCAGTAGGCAAAACCTTTCTGTGCCTGTTGCACTGAATAGTTTTGCCTAGGTTTTTTGCCTATTGGTTGGGAGCAAATACATGGTCCTTCATAGGTAACCACTACTTGTTATTGTGACACAGCACACCACTGCACTCAACGAAATGTGACCTCTGCTTTTAACCCATCGCCAAAGTGAACAGTGGGCAGCTTCAAGCTGCCTGGGGAGCACCTCTGTGGTAAATTGGCAACTGGTGGACCCGAACCTGAAGCCTTTTGGACTCAAGTCCGCTTCATAACCACTAATCCACCAACGCCCTAAGTTACAAGCTAGCCAGGAGTCGAACCTAGAATCTTCTGATCCGTAGTCAGACGCGTTATCCACAGTGCCCACTGATATTATCAGTCACACAGGAAATTAACTAAATTCTTAACAAGATACTGCTTCGTGGATGTCGTCTTTGTGTCATTGGCATCACTGCCTGCTTGTAGAAACTGTCCATTTAAGGCCTTGTACAACATTGCAATATATTATATTTTTTTTAAATTTCACTCTCTATTATGTAATTTTGTATGGTACATGTGTCATGTAGGCCTGAGTTCAAAATATCGATTCGCCGATACTGAGTTGATTCTCCATTTAATTCTCGAATATTGATTTGTATGTCCAAAAATCAATGTTTTTTTTTTAAAGAACGAATGATGAGTGGAACCTCCTCTCTCATGTTCTACAAACCACCAAGATTAAACTGAACATCGCTCTGCCAGTTTAGCAGCATTGTTGACGACAGCGATGCAGGGGTTGGGCCTGACAAGTAAGGATCCAGCTGTGGTGACCGACAACGTGGCAAATATGGTCCGTGCGGTTGAGATAATGGGGCTAATGCATGTAGGCTGCTTCACTCACATCATACGCATCGCATCGCAAACCGGTCTCAAACTCCCACATGTTGCACGCGTGCTTGGGAGAGCGAGGCACATCGCAAAGTACTTTCATCGCAGTACGACAGCCACCCACATCCTCAAAGAAAAGCAGTAGCTACTGCAGCTAAAGGCACACAAGCTCACTATTCGCAAAGTGACTTGGTGGAACAGTGCGCTCGATATGCTGGAGCGCTTTCTGGAACTGCAACCCACAACCTCTTCTGTTCTGCTCACACCCAGATTAGTGACTGCATTACAAGCAGTGGTGTCAGTCATGCTGCTTGCTGTCCCATTGTTAATGCTCTGCTGGATATTCAGCACAACATGCCAGAGACCTTGTTGTAAATATGTTATAGTTTTATTTTACAATAAAAGTACATTTATTTGTATTTAACAGCTAATGGGTAGATGCTTATATAATAATAATTCACAAGGTTAGTTCCAGTATAATTACAGCTTTAATGCATTTTTAATCTAATTCTGCCCATAGCATGTTTTGGAAAGCGATACTATCATCACTTTCATATTAATTTATTGGTCCTTTGGTGCCATTTCAACAGTCATAACTACCAACTTTCATATTAATTTGCTGTCAAGTATGGATATAATACCAGTATGGATGTGTTGCATAACTAAGTAGTCAATTAATTCAGATTACAGCTCAAATAACACAAATCGAAATCGAATCTAATCATGATAATCGATTCTACACAAATCGAAATCGAATCTAATCATGAGAATCGATTCTGAATCTTGAGTACCGGAATCGAATCGATTCTTGAAATTGAACCGATTCCCAGCCCTAGTGTCATGGGCATACCTACCTCCACTACTGTCACAGTGATCTGTGTGTTTAGTGTTGATGATGTAATGTGTTGATCTAAAACTAAAAAAAAAAAGTGTTAACATCAAAAACGTGTAGAAAAAGAAAATAAATTACATTAACCATCACTATAAGCACTGTAATTTGAGTACCCTTGGATTACTCACTTGATGTAATGCTATTTTGTTTCATGTGCTGTGTTTGAATTTGCCAAGTTTAACCTGCCCTTAAGTGGGATAAAAGAGAAATTGATTGTTAGAAAAAAGGACAACTTTGCCTACATTTACTCAATACAGTAATGACTTTTTCTTGTTTTTTAGCTGCACATTAACTTTTTGTTTTTGTTTTTTTTTTTTTTTTTTTTTAGCTGTTTGAATCGGAAAGCAGCACCTACACTTATCTGTTGGCAGACCCTGAGACGAAGGAGGCTGTTCTCATCGATCCAGTACTAGAGACCATGGGAAGAGATTTAAAGCTAATACATGAGCTCGGACTAAATCTCAAGGTGGCAGGTATGATGAAGTTGGTTTTATCACTTTATAACACTTTGGAACAGAAGTTTTAACAGAAGCTATCTCTGATATTAAGCCTGTGACGATAACAAGTAGACAGTCATTTACATGTTTTCCATAGTACCATCTGGTACGGTGGTTCCCAACCTTTTAAGCCCAAAATCCCTGACTTCCACCTTGTTGACAGGCTTTCAGCTGAGCAAATTTTTTAGCATGGATTACGCTGTTGGTGGGGAAGTGGTCTTTGATTTGCCTGTTTGTGTTGTGGTGCTGCCCCAGATTCCACCTTTTAGACAGCGCTAGAGGTTGCAAAGCATACCCATGCAGTTACAGTTGCCATGGGTTACATGCACATATTTTGGGTGAGTTAGAGCAGACATTTTTTACAGTTCTATTCAGTGCCGTGAGCTGTCGATTTAAAAAAATATTTTATGTAGCTTCCTCAGTACTCTCCTATTCCTCATTTATTCCCAATTTTCTATCTTCTGTTCTGTTATATTAATTATGGACAAAGCCCATTGGTACTGCAGCGATGGGCTTATAAAATTAATTGACATAAATTAGACAGTTTGGTGAATTTGACAACTAAAACCACTACATTTATTCCTTCCATTTGACATTTGTGCCTGTTCTTTCTCTCTGCGATGACATTTGTGCCTGTTCTTTCTCTCTGCGACTTCTTCTACCAATGTATCCACTGTCCCTGCACATGTCCAAACCATCTCAATCTGGCTTCTCTAGCTTTTTCTCCAAACCTTCCTGTCTGTATTGTCCCTCTAATGACCTCTTTCCTGATCTTGTCCATCCATGTCACTCCTAAAGAGAATCTTAGCATCTTAAACTCTGCCACTTCCAGCTCCACCTCCTGTCTTCTGCCTATTGCTACTGTCTCTAAACCATACATCATGGCTGGTCTCACAACCATCCTGTAAACCTTTCCCTTCACCTTATATATATTATATATATAGTATATAATATATCTATTATATATAATAAGATATTAATATGTACTATTATACAGCAAGTAACTTTTTTTTACTCTAAATGTACCATATTATGTAATTTAAGTTGACTGATTTAAAGTTACATGACCTTATATACCTGCTGTATCAAATTTGATACATCATTTTCAACATAGTTTTACTAAAACATAGATTATGAAATTTTAAGTATTTTTAAATTGCATCAACCCAGTAACTATTGATGTTTCAGTAAAGATAAAAAAAAAAACTTAACCTTTTCAAACTTGGCAAAGTTCTTATTCAAGAACCGCCTGTGTCCAAATGCTAAGTCATGGCAATCTTGTAGTGTCACCTGAAGGCCCACTAATGAGTGAATAACTATCCCCTGTTGAATTATCTGTGCACTGCATGTGTCTGATTGTACACATCTGGTTTTTCAGGGAAAAAAATAACACTGCTCATGTGGAGGGCTGTAAAACTCATGTATCAACTATGATACATTTGGCATTATAACAGTAGTGAGGTGCGCTGTTGGAAGGACAGAAGACTTCAAGGTGCAGGTGGGACTACATCAAGGATCGGCCCTGAGCCCCTTCTTGTTTGCTTTGGTGATGGACAGATTGACAGATGAGGTCAGACAGGAGTCCCCATGGACTATGATGTTTGCAGATGACACTGTGAAAAAAAGGCACGTCCTCAGGCCTTACAGGACTATACAAACAAATTAGCTCATTGTCTAAGGGCTTTTTCCTAAAAAATAACAAAGGAAACAACACAAAAAAACAGTCTTTCAACCTTGGACCCCTCGATAAAAAAAAAACAAAAAAACAGGACAAGATAGAAGAACAAGGCAGCGGACAAGGCAGCGGACAAGGCAGCGAACAAGCCATAAGCTTACTTATCCTATCATATGCACACCCTAGGTGGACGCCTGGGTCTGAGTGAGTATGAGTGGGTGTGAGCTACTGACGGCTGATGGTGATGGTGACAGCGAGGGAGGGCTGCATTCCTCCCAAGCTGTTGTCAAGGGGGGGGCAACTTCTGCTGCAGATAATTTTGGTGCAGCCAGGTGGTCAACTCTTTTGACATCCCCACCAAAGTCAAAGACGTACTCCGACTCTTCCTCATTAACATGCAGGTCAACTCCTGATACATAAGCATCAGGCACCGTTGCTAGAGAACCACTGGACTGTAAAACTCCTGCCCCCAGGGTGGAAGGGCAAAGGGTTGGACACATGATGCACTCCCACATAAGTGTTGTCCGATACACAGGACAGTTTAAAATTCAAGTCCGATACGATATCTTCCTCCAAGCCTGGTGCACTGCTACCCTGGAAATATGCGTTGCGTAGCCGTCTCGTCAGTGTACTGCTCATACTCTTCCTTCAAGTACTTATACAATTATTTATTTAATTATAAATAATTAATACATTATTTAATTATATTAAATTACTAAATAATTAATTTAATTATTCAATTACGTATACAAGGTTCATGGGGTGCCTTTCCACGTGACCATCTTGATCTTTCTGAATATTCACTGTCTGAACTATTTACTGATTGTTAATGGCGCTCTCCACGTCTGCTAAGGTCAGGTCTGCTAAATTACTAATTGAGAATTTGTATTAATAAGAGGAAACATGGAACGTGTTACGTTTAGATTACTGAATATGTAAGGTTTCGGGTTCGAGTCCACCGGCTGCCAAGTTACCACTGAGACTAACACTTTCGTTCAGAGCGCTTTTGACGACCATTCTCTGTGCGTGTATGTAAGTAAAAGCAGTTATAGTAACATTGTGTTTTCTAATGAATACCGTAAAATATACCTGGACGCTGCGTGCTTAATTGGACAAGGATCAGCTCGTTACACAATCTCAGCACAATTACACAGTTACACAATCTCACAATCTCACAATCCTAGCTTTTACACTCAATGGACTCAGGAAAGTCAATACACACTTCTGTGCATGTTCCTTGCTTTTACTGTGTTGGGTTGCCTGTGCATGTCCATAATCCTTTCAACTTTCTCCAGTACCTAACTCATGCCCAAACTCATGCCCAAACTGTTCCTCAAAGGGCCGTGTGGCTGCAGGTTTTTGTTCCAACTAACCAAGAGCACACAGTTTGACCAATCAGCTGTCTGAAGACTGAGACTAGTTGATTAAACCTGCCAACTCAGGTGTGCTACTGCTTGGTTGGAACAAAAACCTGCAGCCACAGCGGCCCTTCGTGGAACAGTTTTGTTGCGCTGTAGCCTTTAGAGTGCCAAAAGTAAAGTTGATCTGTGTAATTCTTTTATTGAGAAGTTCTGCACCTTCTCTAGAATTCTGAATCACTTCATGGTCTGTTCTACAGTAGGAATCCCTTCTCTAGAATTCTGAATCACTTCATATTTTTATTGGCTCCCCAATTATTATTATTATTTAATGTCTCTCACCCTGTCTTTTTTTTTTGGACCACGAACTGGGCCACTCAGGGGTTTGCATCTGGGCAGCATGTGGCCCAGAGGCCACAAATTAAATATTATCTGTATCGTGAATTGAGTGCATTGAGTTACATCCATACATTACTAGCATTTAATTTAGAATTCAGTAATCATATGTATGTGCACAAATCAGGAGAACTCAGACGTACACAAAAAATATTGTGTATACCTTTACAGTATATATGATTTTATTACGTTAATATGGGTCTACTTCACTGAGTTGTAAAACACATTTTTTTCTTCCTGGTTAGTTAACACCCACTGCCATGCCGACCACATCACAAGCACAGGGCTGATGAAGAAACAAATAGCTGGTCTGAAGAGCGCAATCTCCAAATTCAGTGGTGCAACTGCAGATATATTACTGTCAGAGGGAGACGACATCACCTTTGGAAAGCATGTAAGATGCCTTACATACATTGTCTTGCAACATTTCATCAGCTTTAGAAGAAATGTAAAATCATCACAAAACAAGACAGTTTCTTAGGTTAGCCAAGGCATGTCAATTGCCAAAAAGTGAGGCACACATTTTAAGACTGAATTACACACCCTAAATAACTGAACATCTGCTGACGTGAGGCCATGGTTCTGAGAGTTTATTTAGTTACCTCTCTGACCTGGTCCTGACCAGGTTATGTACAGAGTTTTAGCTGAAATGGGCTGTAAAAGGGGACTAATTAAAGCTGCATAGTGATTACACAGTGTGACTGTGTGCATAGACACACACAGTAGGACTGAAGCAGCAGTGATTTTGGATGTGCTCCTGACCACATCCAATAAAATGTGTTAACTGAAAACCTGACTGTTTATTGAACATAATAGACAGGCAGGCAGGCAGGCAGACAGACATTATTTATTCCAAGCTGGGAAATCACAGAAGCAAGAATAATGTGGGCAAACCTTGACATGAGTGAATTTTTTCGAGATTGCAATGATCCACTGGCATTTCCTAATGAAATTCTGTATGAGCAATATAAAATATGAATTAGGCCTGCCTAGTACTTGTTGTCACAGATAATACGTTTATTATTTCACTTTGATGTGGCCATGAATAATCTGAGCACCTGATTAATGTTTTGGGGTGTAAGCCCAAACATAGATCTGACAGGCTTGAGCTATTTTTACTACTTAAAAAGGTTTATTGTCAAATTTTCACTGAACATTGAACATTTAAATACTCAGTCTCGCTTTCAATAAAACACTTTTCAATCGCTTTTCAATTAAATACAAAACACAAAATTTAGATCAGTAAAATATATCAGTGTGAAGTTACTCATATACATAGCCACCAATTTTCTGCCAGCAGTCCTTCCTTTCCAGGTTAGTGACAGAGTTGGCATGGTGTTTTATATTATGATCCCCCTCCTATCGCTATATTTCGCTATATCCAAGACCCACTGCGAGATGGGAAAAATTGCGAAGCAGAGGTGAGATAGTTCCCCACACTGTTATCAACCCTCCCTATGCATGGTAGAGTTGTATAATGGCGATCAAGTGCAAAGTGAACGACTGACAGACAAGGGGAGATGCTGAGATATGCTAGAATGCATGAGCCAATCAGCGTGAGGAACAGAAGAGCATGCTCAATTAGCCAATTAGTCTAAGTAAACAAAGCTACCAGCGATTGTTCGCAAATGCGCCTATCTCAATTTTAAAAAGGAGAATCCACACTTTTAAAGCCAAAACTTTCGTATGTATAATTATTTTGTCTTTTAGTTTATTTTTTCGTATATTTCGTAATATAGCAAAACTTTCCTAAAATCGGATTAAAAAAAATCTGATTTATTACAAAGTAATTTCCTGATTAAAAGAATTGAATAGCTGACTCAATTACACCCTCCATTTCCAAAAGGTACCTATGGGTGTATTCTTATGAGTATAAGGAAAGGTTGATTTAACCCTCCCATTGTCCTTCGCATTTTGTACACACCAAGTTTCCTCGCAACTGGCTTGCATCTTGTCCCAGAATCAGAGTATGAGGAAAGGTTGGCACAAGCTATGCAGTACAGGAACACATTCACACACACACACACACACAAACACACACAAAGGCATATTATCAGCCATTAGGTCACCTAGACCCAAAGGACAGTTGACAATTTCTAGTCAAGATGGCAGAAGAAGGAGAGGAGCAGTGAGAGGAGAAATCAGACAGAAAGCAGCAGCGCTTAGTCAGTAAAAAAAGTAAAGTAAGTTCACTGTTGTGATGTCTACACCGTGCAGCAATACAACAAATCAAACTAAGTAGCAACACCGCATGGACGTCCTCTACATTAGTCTTGGAAAAGCTAAAAGGGAGTCACCATCACAGGTGAATAACAGAGATAACTTGCTTCATGTCAGTGTGGTTATTTCCTGTATAACGTGAACGTTTTGCTGGTGATGATAATCGGGTACAGATACGCTTAAAGTTAATGCAGCTCCTTATTTGTGAAACCAATCTTAAGGTATAACTTAGCGTGATACTCCATTTGTCTCAGCATATCGTAGGTCACATATGGTAAATTCTTGCTGTCTTCTGTCATTTATTCCCAAACATAATTTTCAAAATCTTACTGCATTTAGAAGTTTTTGTTCATACATTTTCAACTGTTTTAAGTTGCTGTCGATTTTGCACACACGGTGACTTTTGTCTTTTTTCTTCTGCAGTGTCTGACAGTACGAGAGACACCAGGCCACACTGATGGTTGTGTGACACTGGTGTTCGATGATGAGAGCATGGCATTTACTGGAGATGCTGTCCTTATCAGAGGCTGTGGGAGGACAGACTTTCAGCAGGGTAAATAAACACAATTTTTTTCCCCTAACATTTACGAAGAATTTCACTTCTATCACTGCTAAATACATTTTGCTTTTGTGTTTATTAATCTGGTAATCTTCACAAATTGTCTTATTCAGGCTGTGCCAAGAGGCTTTATGAGTCAATCCATCAGAAGATCTTCACCCTGCCTGATCACTGCCTCATTTACCCTGCTCATGACTACTTAGGTTGGTTTTTTTTCCACAGGTGTGCTTGTTTTCTCTTGAATTAAATTACGTTCCAGGTATGTGTTAATGTGTACAACAGAGCCTGTACATGGTCTCTCCGTTTTAAAAGTAATATAACTGTAGCAATATTTATCAGTTTTACATGTACATTCATGTACATTACATTTTATTCCAGTCAAATCAAGGGTTCAAATTCTCAAGACAAATTCACTAGTGCTTCTAGCAGAGTGGAACAATTTATGAAATGTGATTGTTGACACAGCATCCTGTAAACACTGCACAACTGACTTTTAGCCTACCTTCCCCCGCCCCCTAAAAAATACCACCAAGTGTGCAAATGTGTTTTTTTACCCAGTCAGGAATTGTTGACACAGCATCCTGTAAACACTGTACAACTGACTTTTAGCATACCTTCCCCCGGCCCCTAAAAAATACCACCAAGTGTGTGTTTTTTTACCCGGTCATGACAATTAATAGGAACATATTGTTGTTGGGCCCAACCCAGAATCGGCCAAGTAGTTTCTCCACCTTTCTCAATAATAATAGTAAATGAAATGAAATCATAGGAAAGAATCTTAAAAACCATTGGTGGACTAAGTGTTAGAATGCAAATGTGTACAGAGCTATTATCTGCTCCTCCTACGGCAACCAAGGTAATAGACAATTACAAGTCTACAGAATTTAACGTTCAGAAGAGATAGGCCTTTATGTGTGTTATGTGTATTGCATGTAATGTTTGTGTGTAGTCCAACAAGGGACAGTTAAATAGTTAAAATCAACAACAATGCTATTGCACGGTGGTGGCTTGGGCTCAGTTGCCACTGAGGTTGTTTGAGCATGGCTGTCCCCTGCTCACCCTGGTGATGGGTATAAATGAAGAGGTCACAATTTGTTGTGTGCTGAGTCACAATGAGTTCACTTCCCTTCCTTCCAAAAAGATTGCTGAGTGAGGTGACAATAAAATTGAGATTGACGAGAGTATTGTGGTGATGTTAGTGTGCTTGCCTAAGACCTCACTGGGATGTGTTCCAATATTTCATTGTAAACATATTTAGTACTATACTGTATGTAAACAGGAGAAACAGTCTTAGGTTATCGAGTTAAGAATGATTAAAAGAACATCAAATACATATTTCAGTTGTACACAGAATAAGTATATTTGGATACCTTAAGACTGCTGTCTACAATTATTACTAAAATATATATTTGATTCTAATTAATAGTTGTTTTATTATCTGTTTTTCAGGTCAAACCGTTTCTACAGTCGGTGAGGAGCGTAAATATAACCCACGCTTGACCAAAAGCCTGGAAGAGTTTGTGAACATAATGAAGAACTTAAATCTCCCTAAACCTTCAAAAATCGGTATGAAAAACACACTTCAGACAAAAGTCGCCTTAATTGTTCTTTGATTTTGAAAAGGCTATTTATACTCTTAGCTCTAGCATTCTAATATCCCCCAGAGTAGGAATAATAAAGCACTTTACAGCAATGCACTTTGACAGTGTTCCACAGGCCTCTTTCAGTTCCCTCCAACTTTGCGGATTACCTTGCCTTACATTTTGACCCGGACACAGAGATACAGGCCTTTTTTAAATCCTTCTTCCAATGGCTTTTGGACAGTTTTATTTTACTTTTTCCATGTAAAAAAAAAACAGTAAGAAAATCATGTAAGAAAAACAGGTCTAACCAACTATTCCTGAAACTATTCCTATTCCTAGACCAATATATATACATTTAAAACGGTACTATACTGCATTTGAAAAGTACCTTTTTTTGTTTGTTTGTTTTTTTTTCAACTGCTGGCAGCAGTAAAGTTCACAGGTGAGCGATTAAGGACAGCAGAGAGATGTGTACTACGCATGCTAACGTTCCACAGTCTGTTTAATTTATTTAATTTTTCTCTTTTTAAAATGCAGTCTTTCTTTTTTTCTTTTTTTTTTGCAGATATAGCGGTCCCTGCCAATATTGTCTGTGGATTGCATCAAGTTTGAGTCATCTGAAGATGAGGACCCAACCCTTCCCTCTTTTTGGCCTTGTAGCTTTACTGATCCTTTTCCAACTATTGTAAATCATAATCAGATTCTTATTTAGATTTTATAGGAATTTTACCTTGCTTAAAATTGTAATGAAATCCTGATTTGTATATACAGACTATAGAAAGTGAATGTTCAAGCTTAAATGACCAACGTTAATAAAACATGTTCATGTTTACGGGCACCCATCATGAGCAAGTCTCGTTTGCTTGAATTTCCAGTGTTTAACTTCAACATCTGTACATTCTGTGTAGGCAAGATATGCCATGTTAAAAAAAAGACTATAAGTGATTATGAATAAATTTTCCAAAAAACTTTGATAACAACTCCTAATATATATTTGTGTGTATATATATCTATGTGTGTATATACATATATACACTGTATGTATACAGTATATATAATATATATATATATATACAGTGGGTACGGAAAGTATTCAGACCCCTTTAAATTTGTCACTCTTTGTTTCATTGCAGCCATTTACTAAAATCAAAAAAGTTCATTTTATTTCTCATTAATGTACACTCAGCACCCCATCTTGACAAAACAGAAATGTAGAAATCTTTGCAAATTTATTAAAAAATAAAAACTGAAATATCACAAAGTATTCAGACCCTGTACTCACACTCCTCGCAGATTTCTTTTATTCCAATCCAGAGTTTTGCCATATTGTGGTATTTTACAGTAATTTAAAAAAAACATTTCCAATATTGCCATTATTTTCTTGATTAAAACATTTTCTAACCAAATGAAACCATAAAGATATAGCTTTGTTTACCTAGAGGAGATCGAACACAGCATTGAGAATACTCTTCTGTTCCTCACTGATTGGCTCAGGAATTGTAGCATCTCTCAGCATCTCCCCATGTCTATCTGCCACTTGTTCACTTTGCTCTGCGCTGTTGCTGTAAAGTTTGTGCTCTTTGTGTTTGGTTAAGGTTTATCATTGAGTTTTAATTTATAATTAGAATGTATTTTACATCGTTTTTCACGGCCGTGTATTTAATTTATTTACGTGTCTTACATTTCCACTATACAACTACAGAATTACAGAACTATAGAAGCACATCTTTCTGTTGAGGTTGTGTACCACCAAGGCCAGCAAGGCTTCTCTGCTGGCTTAAACAGTATCAGGATCAGTGACTTATTTTTCATATATTTGTTATTAGATATTCATGAAATAATGCAGAGTATTCTGATCTTATCATTCATTCTCATTATCAGCTTTTCACTTGGTTGCACTGCTTCCAGTAGGGTATAACCCATTTTTTGTCCAATCATATTGCAGCGTCATATGTTGCCAGGTAAAAAATAATCTACCCTAAGGCCTTCAGAAACAGGACTGCAGGTGCTGGGAACCTACAACGAATGGCAATGAGATTGTTTATTTAACCAATTGGATTTTGGCAACACTACGCCCTTCTAGCAGGCCTTCAGCAACATATGATTTGGGTGATTTGATTTAATGATCAAAAGAACTCTAAGAAATGGCATCTTGCATTTTTCTCTATGTCCACTGCTCCACTGTCAAGTGGCAGTACGACAGGACAGATTGGATTGCAATAGAAAAGAACATGTTTTTAGAACTGCAACGCACAGTCTATTTAATATTATTTTATTTTTTCCACACCCGGCTTTTGCTGTACCTTTAAGGGAATGATTTTGTAAGTATTCCAAATGATGATCAAGATTTATGTGGAATGAATACATGATTTATTAATCATCTGGTCAAAGGCAGCTCCATCAAAAACAACAGGTAATATCTGGGGCTTTGATCTAAGATGGAAACCATCTATTCCTTCCATCAGAAAGAGCAAGTTGACCGGCTTGGTTCCCCAGCTGAAGGAAGTCTTCAAGGTTCACACCTCTTATTTGACAGCTGATGTACAGTCATGCAACAGTGAGACATCACTTTTCATCAATGCTGGGCATTTCTTCTGTTTCCTTGACATTGTTTTTGGCTGAACCAACAAACAATTTAAACCAATTGCGCCGGATTGTGTTATCAAGGGGCTTTGTTCTTTTCAAAAAGACATTTATTTGTGAATGTTTCTTCCAATCTTCTGTGCCTTTTTAACATGCTCTGTGGATCAGCAAACTCTTAGTTGAGAAGACATATCAGGTCAGTGCTCTCATCTTCAAATGGGTGTCCCATGTTGTGATGAATTTATGAGGCATGTACTGTATGTTAGCCTAGTCAAGTACGGTTTTAATATCTGTTCTTTTAATAAACATGGCAAAAGTGGTAAAGGACATAACCGTGCCACGCATTGCTTATTTACTCACATCCAAGATGTATAAGTTGCTCACCGTTGTGCTTAAGATGCACCGCTACACAGGCGCATGTGTGGACTCAGGACAGGACTCAGCTGTTCACATACACTCAAGGACAAAACACACTCCTTTGAGGACAACAATGTGCACATTTTGGCCAGGGAAGACAGATGGGAGAGGAGTAAAATGAGCCATTTTTGTCAACCTGGAAAAAAGATCACTTAACAGAGGAGGTGGACTCAGACACAACCTATCCCCTACATACAAAGCACTTTTAGGAACAATACCCAAAGGATTCACCTCAGTTTCTCGTAACAAAGAGGCAGGTGACCGAAACTGTTCTGATGAGGACCACAATGACCCATCAGACTCTTAACGACTGTTTACACTTTCACAGTTGACCCCAAGGCCCCACCCAACAGGGTGGACCTGAAGTAGCTTTATTCTTTCACACCTAGAGTATATATTTTGCTGTACTCCCCACCACCAGTTAGAACTGAAGAAGCCTCTTGGATAAGAGGTGAAACGTCGTCCTTTAGAAAATTCACATCCAGTTGCCTAACAACATTTTAACATTGTGCTTAAAAGTTTGTTTGTTTTTTTAAATCCTGCTGTAAGGATATATTTTCACTTGAAACATTTGTGCCCAACTTACATATTATAACGATATTTTCACTTGAAACATTTGTGCCCAGCTTACATATTATTAAAACACTGCCAAATCTGACTCATTTTTTAAATATTTGCTTATTTTTTTGGAATTAAATATAACTTCCTTCTTTTTTTGTTTGACGTTTTACAAGACAAATGTAAAAAACAAACAAGGTATTCCTCTTTACAAAACAGTACATCCAATGAAAATGCATAAAAAGACATAGCTAATGTATTATAAGATACAATATACAAATAAATAATAATGTAAATCAAAACGTGTCAATCTAGCTCCCTAGCTTTCTGTCTGTTCAGCCCCTTAACTCACTTATAGCTTATTTGTTTGAGGCCCCCACCTTCTTCTGTCCTCACATGAATTGGCTGCATGACCCTAACCCTCCATAATAAAGTACCGTCCCCATACTACAGGGTTCCGAGTATCAACGGCTAAAGATTAAACTCTCTCACGGGTATTCGCCATTCAATTGCTCTGTCATACTTTGAAACAAAGAGATACTCAAACTCACACTCATACCCGTCGTCGACATACAACGCCAAATTAGCCTAACGTCTGAGCTTTCTGTTGCAACGCTATTTAACTGTGGAAAGCAACCTGTATTACAGTATTACAGATCTAAAACTTTCAATATGGCGAATACATTACTTAAAATGAAGTTCAAAACCAGAACTTCATTACCCACAAGACCTTTCTGTCAACCATTGGTTAGCGAATTTCAAAATGGAGGATTTAGTGACTGTGGAAAGATACCCGGTAAGCGTACTGCCATTGTTTTAGGTTTTGTGATTAACAAACTGTTTAATTGACCATACAAAATCCACGCTGTTTAGGATTTTTTGCGGTGTTTTTCACGGTTATCTATTTTTTCACTAGTTAGAATATTGGAACCTTCCAATTCATTCTCCGCTTGCAGCATTGCCTTGTCATGCTACTTAGCTGCTAGCATAGGCAAGATGTTTGAGCTAAAAAACAATACATTTGAGGAGCGATTTTTGTAATGCGATGTGACCATAAGAGTTAATTGTTATGGCAACATGTTGCTTATCTGTTCATAAACCGTTTAGCTGCTTCCAAAAGGAATGTGTTGGGGTGACAGTTGATGATGATACACGAGACGTTTTTCCGCTTGCTGTTAATGGGAACAAACATTTAAAGGAATGAAACATTACGCTGTTAATGGGAACAAACATTTAAAGGCATGAAACATTACGTTAGATAGTGCAACATCAAGGGATCAGTGGATTTTTCGACATTACCTTCATAGTACTTGTCCAACTAAATAAGTTGTCTTACTGTTTAAGAGAAGAACCACTTTATGGCAAAGATAGCTATAACTAAAATAATAATAATAAATACACCTGAGAATGAAAGATGCACACATTAGAACTGGGGAAATAATGATTTCTAAGTAAGCAAAGACACACTGACATCACTAAGATTAAAGACATCAAGACAATAAAGATATCATACAAGGCTTTACCTGTGTTGATGTAGCAGTGATGATCCCCTTTGGTGTTGATTCTCATTATTAGTTTATTACTCTGCAAAATGCCACAAAAGGGAAGGAGATCAAAGCCCCATAAGAAGCCGAAAAAAGCCACAATACCACACTTTGACAAACAGGTATCTGAAACGGTGTACGTAATGTTATTAACTAAAAATATATTCAAGTTTTTATTACCCAAATGTGTTCTTGGTTTATTCTCACTTTTCCGTATTTGCCCCATGTTTTCCATTTGTTTGTTTAAGAAGTTATATTAATAAGAGCTCTTTTTTGATTGCCTTAAACTAGTTACAGTATATGAAAGTCAGTTATTTATTCGTTAAACAAGATTAAAGTAAACATTACACAAATTCAGGGTAAAGTGTGACTGATGAAATATTCCAGTGACACTAACAATGGAACTGGACTAAAGGAAGAGGCAGGAGGACAAGAGTGAGTGCTACAACCAGGCAGGTCTTCCATCCACCCAGTTTTATTGTTAGGAGGGAAACATAATAATACATTTTATTAGGTGCCTTTCTGTCACCTAAGGACACCCAAGACTAGAACTCACAACCCTGTGCTTACTGTACAAATATTCTACTTTTTAATATGTAGCTCCTTAAAACATTGTAGTAACAATTACTTGGTTATTTTGCAATGCTTGTATTTAATTCCAGCACTCATGTTCAGGCCAAATTGTATGTGTTCTAATTGGGACTGATTGGGAACTCCCTTTATTGTGACAACAGATTTGCTTTAAGAGTACAGTAAAACCTAACTGAGATATTTTGAGATAAAAGATGAGTAGAAAGTTGCCTTTTGTGGTTTTGAGAGTTAAATTTAGAAAGAAAAAAAAAACCTGAGTAGAAAGTTGCCTTTTGTGGTTTTTAGAAAGAAAAAAAAATCAACAGAAAATCTAATCCAACTTTTGATGGATGTAATCATGATATTGCTGTGTCCACTGTCTGCAATGTCTTGATTTACAAATCAAGAAATGTACAGCAGAGGCACAGTTGTTAAACTCCCTGAAAATAGACAGAAAAGCAATAGTTTTGTAAAATTACAACAAAGGTCTGTTCAAACGGTTGATTCAGAACCTTGATTGACCTTAAGCACATTAAAACTGACCTCCAGGCAGAGGTAACAACAGTGACATCTTACACCAGGGGTGTCAAACTCTTTTTCACCAGTGACTACATCAGCAATACTGTTCCCCATGAAGGGCTGGTTGTAACTGGAAGACTGTATAGATCAGAGGTCCCCAACCCCCGGTCCGAGTACCAGTCTGTATAGATCAGAGGTCCCCAACCCCTGAGTCCGAGTACCAGTACCAGTATTCAATTTCAATTCAAGTTCAAAATTTAGGAAATCCATATCCTTTTACTTTCTTTATTTATTCTTTATTTAAAGATATTCTGGCAATATTTTAAAATAAGTCATTCAGACTTCTATACAACAGAATAGAGTCTAAAATATATTTTATTTTGAAAATTTAATGATTCTTCAAAGCTCAGCATCTTGCTAGCGGTTCTTAGTAACAGGTGGTACTGGCTGACCAATCCTCGGAACCAAAAAGGTTGAGGACTGCTGGTATAGGTGTAACTACTCCATAACAGACTAATACATGTTTCTTATTATTTATTCAAGCTAAAAATATTGTTCATTGCTGTGTAATAAAAAAAAAAACTTTTAATTTCATGGGCTTTACTAAATCCTTTTTAAGCTCCCACGGGCCACACAAAACAGCTTGGCGGGCCACAGTTGGCCCCCGGGCCTTGAGTTTGACACGTATATCTTACATGGTCCATTCATCATATGGCAAGAGATCAGGATATTTTATTGGATATAAATTTGTGCGGCCCCATCAATTTGCTCACATTCATTTTGTGTTGATCACAGCAAGACGACATGCAGGCAGCACTGAGTTCTAGACCTCAGACAGGTCTGTCTTTCTTGGTTCCTGAACCAGAAGATCTTGAAGACCTGTACAGCAGATACAAGGTATGCCATGACGCAAAGCACTACAGATTTCTCCTATATCTCAAACATCTGCTTTTGTCTATATACCAACAGAGATGCATTTTTGAAATGGGTTTTAATGCTGATTACGGTTTCAAAGGATTTTGCATAGTTTGTGCAAACACTGTGTATTGACTGAATTGGAGCAATGATAAGTAGAATGAAAATGAAATTATTAGATATACATTAGGCTTGTGTATGATTAATCGCAAGAATAGTTGTTCTCAGGCAATAGTTATTACTTTGCGATTACTACTTATTTATGATTGGTGCCGCGTGATTAAGGTTGCCATTCCAGACCCTCATTGGAAGCTATAGGAAGCGTTTAGAGGCTGTTATTTTTGCAAAAGGTGGATCAACTAAATATTGATGTAATTTTTCTGTTGGGGTGCCCACATTTATGCACCTGCCTACTTTTGTTTAAGTAATTATTGCGCACTTTCTGTAAATCCTATAAGCTTCATTTCACTTCTTAAATATCACTGTGTTTGTTTGCCATATGATATATTTAATTGAAATTGCTGTTCCGAACAACCAATGATCCATAAAGGAAAATCTTGAAAATGATCAGGGTTGCCCAAACTTTTTCATACCACTGTAAATGGAATCTCCTGTGATTAGAAACAAAAATATGCGAACCGTTGAACTGAAAAGGGACTTGTCTTGTATTGGAATCAAAAAATAGCCAGTAAATTGTCACTAGTATTTATGTTTGCATGACATGAAAACATCCGTGTCCCACATTGAGTTGAGAAAGGAATTGGCAACCCTTCTACAATGATGAAATGCATTAAAAAAAAGTTTAATTTGATTAATATTCAGAAATTACTTAATGGCTTCTATATCTGTTTGATGAGTGCAGGTTGTACGATAACCATTTATTGAATCCCAGTCCACGACCTATGTCAATATGCAACATCAACAACAGTAACAAAGTTACTGAAACAGTTCAGGAGAAACTGCAACAATACATTTGTTTGGGTTTAGGACCAGTGTCCATTGCGTCCTTTTCTGCTGCTTTTATATTGGCTGAATTGTAGATGTAGGTCATGGCTGCTTGAGATAGTCATCCTAAGTCAAAAACAACAGTGATGCTGAACCTTAAACTTGTCTTGAAGCACAATGTAAAACCACCATTTTAGAGTCCAAACCAAAGATGTTGCCACGTGTTGCACAGCATATACTGGCCACAACAAGATTCAAGAATTCATTTTTGAAATAATGTTTGCAGAAGCTGCAACAGGAGCTTGAGTTTCTAGAGGTCCAGGAGGAGTATATTAAAGATGAACAGAAGAACTTGAAGAAAGAGTTCCTTCATGCCCAGGAGGAGGTGAAAAGGATTCAAAGCATCCCACTTGTTATTGGCCAGTTCCTAGAAGCTGTCGACCAAAACACTGCTATTGTTGGCTCCACTACAGGTACTTAAAATATCCTTGTTTAGACCCAGAGACAAGATTGTGTTTAGTCAAACTGCCCCCTTGAAAACATTGCTAAGTGTTATGGGTACTGGATGAGTTGAGATTTTAAGATCAGAGCTCTGTGAGGGCCGTATCACTTCCAGGACTATTTGATCGTCTTTAGATGATGCAGATGGTTGGTGGTAGCTGCTTATGTTCTCCAAGCCTTTATTCTCTGTTTTGAACTTTTGAATGTTTTGAAGTAGTCACATTTTCACACCGTCACTTAGTGGATAAGATTTGATGAGTAAAGAAATAAGACAATGTGTTGTTGAAAATACTGTGTTGCTTTACTCACCCGTGTTGAAAATACTGTGTTGCTTTACTCACCTTTGTTTTTTTGTTTTTTTTTGTTTAGGGTCAAACTACTATGTGCGTATCTTGAGTACCATTGACAGAGAGCTGCTCAAGCCCAATGCCTCTGTGGCCCTGCACAAACACAGCAATGCTCTGGTAGATGTTCTGCCTCCTGAAGCTGACAGCAGCATCATGATGCTGACCTCAGGTAAAAAAAAAAACGAATAAAATAGTTTGAAAACTTTGAGAATTGATGGATAGAACACAAGAAAAGTAAAAAGAAAAAAAAAAAGGTGTTATTTCCAGAGCTTTGTTGCACTTGAAACTGCTGTTTTTATCATATGGAGAATGGTACGTCTTGCCCCGATTTCACTTTTTACGATTAAACATCTGTGTCTTTGCTTGGCTTTACTTCATCAGGTGTCAGGTTTTGCTGGAGTAATGATCAATTTCTTGGCCTTTGGCATTTTGTTTTCACTATACCGTATTTTCGCACCTGAATATAAGCTGCACCCACTTCTTCTTTTTCTTTCGGCTTTGTCCCTTATAAGCCGCACCCACTAAGTTAAAAAAAAAAAAACCCAAAAACAAAAAATTTACATATATAACCCGCACCGGACAATAAACCGCTGATATCCAGGTTGAGAAATGAGATATTTTCCGGATACACAGGAACACAAATTTTGTACCCTAAATGTTTATTTATATACCTGAACTGATTGTTTCCGAACAGTGCCTATAACACAGCAGTAAAAGTGCTGATCGAACAACACAGAAAAGTAATTGATGGCTTTATTAATCTTCCTCCTGAGCACTGAGCACTGAACGCCGAACCACTGTCACTTTATTTCTCCTCTGCACTGAAACCGCTGAAGTCGTCTTCTTCAGTGTCGGAGTTGGAACAGCGTCAGAAAAACGTTTTAGCGTCTCTGACGGTGTTGCTCCTGTCCCTTTCATCTTGAGGTAAAGCGGCCTCTGAAGTTGTGCTGCTCTCCTCAGTCTCTCTGTCAGTGTCGCTCTCCGTGTCACTGTCAACCCGAGATAAAGTTGCCTCTGAAGGTGCGCTGCTCTCTTCACGTAGCAGTCTGGCCTTTTATAACCCGTTGGTGATGGTGGATTCTTCCACACTACTCCACGCTGTGAGGATCCACTGACAGATGTCAGAAAAGGATGCTCTTCCAGTTTTTGTGAATGATTTCTCTCCGCTGGTCACCCAAGCCTCCCACTCACCCCGGAGTGCTGCTTTAAAAGTTTGAGTCACACTAATGTCGAGTGGCTGCAAATACTTTGATGTACCTCCAGGAATCACTGCTGGAATCAAGTTTCTTTTCTTGATAGCTGCTTTTACAGAATCTGTGTCCTCAAGGACATTTTCAAGTTCAGGCCACCTGCTTTTATGTCCTCTGAAAGCCTTTGTCGTCGTCTTTCGTCTCACCATGGATTCATTAACGCCAAACTCACGTGCAGCAGCCCTATTTCCTTCTTGGCTAGCCAGATCGATGGCCCTCAACTTAAAAGCTGCATCATACGAACTTCTTCGTGTGCTTTCCATGATTAATGAATGAGGGTGTGAAAATAATTTGCTTCGTCGTGCGTGTTGTGTTGCATGTGCTAAAAAACTAGCGTGTTCTTCTTTGCACTGATTTCCCCGGTCTGTCTGGTTTTTGCGCTTCCTTTTCAAAATCCACGAATGATGTACTCCAGTACAAAACCTTAATTTTCCCTATTACAGAGTCTTATTGATTGAGATAAAAACTACATTTTTTTGTTCTGTATTTGTGGTAATAAAGTTATTTATGGTCTGATGTTTAATTTAAATCGCCAACTATATAACTATACTGTGTTATACTGAAGCAATCCAATTCATAAAATACTAACTAGATATTCTAACACCATGGTTTCTGTAATGTTTTATTTGAATGTCAACAGAATCACGTTTCTGTAATGTTTTATTTGAATGTCAACGGAATCACTTATCATGTTAAGCCAGCTAAGATTTATCAGAAAGACGGATGCCTGTCATAAAAAAGAGCCACAGATACCCGACCCCGGCACAAAAGTGATGTCAGTGTTGTCACAGACACTTTGCAAAAAGAATTTCAAGAAAGTTAAAACACCTTGTGTAATAGATGAATCACGAAAATACATTTTTGTAAGGATATAAAATATTTCAACAACTTGCTGCTCTACAATGATAAGTATATTCTGCTCTTTCTAGACCAGAAACCAGATGTGATGTATGCTGACATCGGTGGAATGGATATCCAGAAACAGGAAGTCAGAGAAGCGGTAGAGCTGCCACTTACTCATTTTGAGCTCTACAAACAGGTCGGATAAAATATATAGTTATAATATGCTTAATGAAAAGAAAGAAACTTATGAATCTCACTGATGTGTTGCCTCTTGTCTGTTCAATATTTAAGATTGGTATTGACCCACCACGCGGGGTGCTCATGTATGGACCACCTGGTTGTGGTAAGACCATGTTGGCTAAGGCTGTGGCACATCACACAACAGGTAAGTCTTTCTGGAATAAAGCCCTAATGATTCCTCTGTTGTATATAACAAATTGCAAGATGTGTTTTGTTCGGAGTAATTATTCATCTATATCTATCTATCTTTTCCCTCCAGCTGCGTTCATCCGTGTGGTGGGCTCTGAATTTGTGCAGAAGTATTTGGGCGAAGGTCCTCGTATGGTGCGGGATGTTTTCAGACTTGCGAAAGAAAATGCACCTGCCATAATTTTCATCGACGAGATTGATGCCATCGCCACCAAACGCTTTGATGCACAGACTGGAGGTAAGAAACTGCGGTGACCATGTAATGTTTTAAGTGCCCACCAGGGAACACTTATTTAAACTGAGTGCTTTTAAGAATTGAAGTATAGTACACAAAGAAAACAAAATCTGAGTTAAAAAGAAACTGACAAAATTAATGTTTTACACCAGATATTTACTGTCCAATAGCATGTATTGAAGCAAATACATCACTGGTTTGCACTCCTGCCTAGTCTTTTTTGTCCATGTTAGGTATATTTAAAATTATGTTTACACTGTTTTTGACATATATATATATATATATATATACTTTTAAAATCAGACAAATGCACATTGGTGGATTTGAAATGTAACATTTTTTTTGTATTTTAAAACTGATATGTTTTTGCATGCAGTATAGCAAATCATTATTATATTTTCATTGCAGCTGACAGAGAGGTGCAAAGAATTTTGCTTGAGCTACTTAATCAAATGGATGGTTTTGACCAGAACGTCAACGTCAAGGTGAGCTTATCAGAGCTCTCTCTATATATTAAATATTGTGCCACTTAGTGAAAGAAACCTTGCTTTGAAATTTAAAATTGTATATAATCACTGAGAGTTATCTTTTGTATCTGAAAACATAATCAAAATAAAAAGGTCATCATTAATATATATATATTTTTAAACAATCTTCATGAAACGATCCCTTTTTTGTATATATGTATATGTATGTATATATGTGTATATATGTATATGTATGTATATGTATATATGTATATATATGTATGTATATATGTATATATATATGTATATGTATGTATATATATCTATATGTATATATATGTATATATGTATATATATGTATATGTGTGTGTATTTTTATATATATATATATATATATATATATATATATATATAAATTAGGCTTGTCAAACATTTTTTTTACTTTGATTAGTCACAGTGTAGCTGAGGATCAATTACAATTGATGGGGATTTCGCGACAGTACGCATTGGTTGAAATAAACAATGAATTGGGCTACAAAGCGTAAGGAGTAGGCTGTGTTATCTCAAAAATTCACAGGTCGTACCATGACAAGACACACTGGTAGTTGGCAGTATGTTGCCCAATATATTGATTTTTAACGAGGTAAATAAGACCAGATCAGTTTGACTTTAAATGATACATTTAAAAAATTATGAGATAAATGGTATGATAGGCAGTATTTCTGTAAAGAAATGGGCATTTTTCTTGCATTGTGTTATTTAAGATATAATAACATAACATTTTCAGTTGGTGAGGTACACAAGACCATTTCTGTTGGTAACAGAATTTTGCATAGTTCTTACAAACAAAGGATCATTGCATTTGATCAAATTTGTCTGGAGCTCATTTTGTAAAAAAAAAATCGTATTGTGAACAAAAGAAAAAAAATCATTTTGTATTTGTATTTTGTAGTTGAACGTAACATTACATCCCCAATCAGGAGTGATTGTGATTAAACATTGTAAATGATGATGAATCAACCTTCCTAAATATAGCAAAAAACAAAACAGAAATAACAACTAACAGGAGGCACATGTATGTGTTTCACGCTTGTGTCTATTTGAGACTATTTCAAATTTTTGAGGCTAATCTTGAAAGTTGCTGATCCTCAAAGGCTTGTACTTCAAACGTTTTTGCCATGTGGATGAATGCAAATCAAATGTGGAGTTACAGAAACCTGTACAGTGAAAAGAGGGGAAGTGGCTAATTACTAAATACATCATAGGAGTTCTTATAGTAGTCCCAACGCCTTGCCCGACGAATATGATGGTTATATCAAAAGGAAGATGGATCTTCAAAATACGCCAAATCACAAACTGTCACACGACCACCAAACCCCTGCATGTTATGCTGCATTCACACCAAAAGTACCGTTCCTTTAATTTAAGATTCTGTGCAGTGAAAAATAGGCATTGCTTTGGACAAACTGTCTTTTAAAACAACAAACAGAGTTATTCAAAGGCTGTGGCACTTCACATTATAATTTGCATAGCCATTTAAAAAATAATTATTCTTAACATTACTAGGGGTGGAACATAAAGACCAAAAACAATATAGGGAAATATGTTTGCAAAATAAATGTTTGGCTTTTAATTTTCATATAGTCAGTAACAGTACAGATATGTTTCTGCTTTAGGGAATATTTTACTTAATTTGCTGTCAAGACATTTGAGGAATGACTTTTCTTTTAGGTGATAATGGCTACCAACAGAGCTGACACGTTGGACCCAGCCCTGCTCCGCCCAGGTCGTTTAGACAGAAAAATTGAGTTCCCCTTGCCCGACCGCAGACAGAAGCGCCTCATTTTTTCTACCATCACCAGCAAAATGAACCTCTCTGAGGAGGTGGATCTGGAAGACTGTATCCTTTTTGAAACATGGTTTTGTGGTGTTTTCTTTGAATTTATGTTTGTGTAACACTTAAAAAAAATCAGTTTAAAATGTGTATTAAAAACATTGTTGCTATCCAATAGCCATACCAGGAACAAGGGCCTTAGCAAAAACTTTATTAAACTTTAGTGCACAAACAAAATCCATTCTACTACACTGGTTTAATCTGTTCACATGAAGGTAAGACCAAATCACTATACTCACTGTATAAGAAGATTGTCCAAGCCCCAGACTCTCTACCATCTCATCTGTACTCAACTGTATTCTATAACTCCCTCGTGGCATTTTTTGATGAAAAGATCCAGAAAATTCATAAGCATCTTAGTCCACAGTGAAAGATTAGTTTGCAGAGTGTGATTAAGTCCGCTGACAAAGTCTACAAAGTACACAAAATGCCATAAGTAATTAAAACCATGTGAAAAGCTAAGAAATAAAAACACACCACAATGTGAAGATGAATGAGAGCAAAAAAGACCTGAGCTCTTTCACGAGACTCACTCGCGAACGACACATCACTAATAATCAATCAGAAATAGACAAGTAATTACCAGATTACCAGATCATTAAATAATTCAGATAATCCCTGAACCTTCCTGCAGGTGGTGACCTTACTGGAAGGCACCAACCACCCTAACCGGGATTTGATCTTGCCCAAGAGATGAATTAGTTCTACACCAATGACAAAAATTGCCTCTGGGCCAAAGCGCCACGCAATCAAACATCTAAAAAAATAAATTGACACGATAATACTTAATATTGATAATACAGAATATTGTGTACAAAAGTCAAAACAAAACAAAAAGTTGACTGGCTCTCCATTGGCTGGGGGTGTATAATTACTATTATAACTGTATAATTTGCTGATATTTGTAGGTTTTGGCCACTGGGGGCATCTAATAATAATGAAAACTTAACCTTAACACCACATCACTCACCACTGGACTGATTTACTGCTAACTAATGCCATAGCAGCAGGCTCCTCCCCACTGCACTGAGTGACTCTGTAGGTGCCACACTTTGACAGCAGGTGGCAGTGTTCTCTATCAATCTTGAATCAATTCAGAAGATTGCTGAATCGATGTTGAATTGGGTGAAACATATCGCAATGTAATGATGAAGTGATATTTAACCCACCCCTACTTGAAATACAAGTACCACTACCATGGGGTACAAAACACAAAGCACAAATATCAGTTGCTTTTGATTCAAATCTAATCAAAAACAACCTCAATTTTGCTCAATGTTTTGCCTTGACCGATGTACAGATGTGGCCCGTCCGGACAAGATCTCGGGTGCTGACATTAACTCAATTTGCCAGGAAGTAAGTTGAGAGAATAAACATTAAATGTCAACCACTTTGGTGGATTGTGACTAATGACATTTCTCTTTCTGCGTATAGGCTGGTATGTTGGCAGTGCGTGAGAACAGGTACATTGTACTTGCCAAAGACTTTGAAAAGGCTTACAAGACTGTAATCAAGAAGGACGAACAGGAACATGAGTTCTATAAATGAAGAGAAAAAAAAAACCCCAATAAAGACACAAATCCTTGAACCACCTTGTGATCAATGTTTATCTTTTGAATCTTGGGCTGCAGTCAACCATCAATGCAAAATGACAACATTCAAATCAGTAAACCAAGTATTTTTTAATTGATCACACAGGATGAGAGCAGGTCTCCAACTGTGTTTCCTCTGACCTCTGGAAGCCCTCTGAGGAGCTGAGTGTTGGAGCAGAGCAACAGCAGCTCATAAGTGTCCACGAGTGTTATGATCTGCCTTGATGGGTTTCCTGTCCAGTCAGTTAAAATGCTTAGAAATCAAATGTCCCTAAAAAGTAGAATATGATTTTTTTTTTTTTACATTTCAGTGCAGTTGAAAAAGCTGTTTTACTTATTTGTAGATATATATACACACATATATGTTTATATATATATATATGTTTATATAAACAGTACATATATGTGTATATGTCTATATGTACTACACGGATGCATTTTAAGATGAATCAGTTGCATTTTCGGTCTTTGATTTGTGTTTTTCAATTGGCAGATAATCAAATGACCATTATTATGCCCTTAAGTGGCTAATGGCTTAGTATTGCATGAAGATTGGACTGCAGACTTGAGAGAGTCCGTGGGCCTGCTCAGCAGCAGCCAAACGTTGGATTCCATTGCATTTAGAATGTATGTGAGCACAATAAATCCGTACTTATCAAACGTGCAGCATGATTCTGCTCAGTGATTCTGCTGCATGTCTACAATCTCCAGCGGTCAGAAATCCAAGGGTGGACATGAGCTAGATATGCACCGGGATGGCTCTGGTGTATTATGTGTCTCGCTCTATACAGTTCTACAAATCTTCGAATAATAGTGCAAGATAAACCATGGTACTTGTATTTTAAGTCTTCTACTCAGGTCGTCACAGCTGCCTTACATAGCTTGTCACACCAATCATCCAAAATATCTGCTAAATTACTAATTGAGAATATTTATTTAGGAAACAGGGAACATGTATGGAGTTTAGATTGCCGGAAACTTGGTCTCCTTTAAGGGGTTCTATAGGTAGTTTAGCTGTTCTACCACTAAAATTTGTATATAAGCAGGGTCAGAGGTGTACTTAAACTTACGCACGCTTCTAAAAACAAGTACAGGTTGATAAATTCCAGGGATGTCCCATAATATTGACCTACCGATATAATTGGCATGCTATTAGCATAATTCTGTAATATCTATAAGAATTGTTCATGAAGAATGAAAAAAATTCAAACCTTATAATGCAATGCCAGATTTGCCTGTTTTGCCAGATATGCTGGAATCGCTTAAACATTTACCACAGTTTCGGGGGGAAAATGGCTGCATATATCGGTATCAGTTGATGTCAGAACTGTAAATTAAGTGTTCAGACAATATTGGCATATCAGATATTAGCAAAATGTTAATATCAGACATCCGTCATAAATCCCATACTTTGTGTACGAATGTTCGTACGCACTCATTATGCATTGTGCATACGCACAGTTGATAAATAAGGGCCCCAGTTGTTTATGTATATGACATTTGGTGTGTTAAAAGTTAAAACGTATTGCTTTTTAATATGCCAAAAACAAAACAAAACAACATCTCTAATAAGAATTCAATCTTTTTCTTTTTATGATCTATTTTATCACTGCATTCATTACAAAAAGGAAACATACAACAGGAGAGTAATGCGTAACTGTGGCCATATTTTCGAGATACTGATTGAAAAATTCAAAAATCAATGATTTACTACCCTTGAATGCAGCTGTACCACTGCCCCGGGCCTACTGGTGAACATGGGTGATACAGAGTTGAAAGATGTGTTTGAGAACAGGATATTAGTTATGGGAAATTCAGCTTATTTGGTACAACTGCTTCTTATGGCTTTGCTTTCTATTGGAAAGCTTACTCTTTTGTCTCAGAAATGGAACCTTGGATTTGTGTTGCTTAATTTATTGAGCAGGGACACTCAATTTCCTCACTATATTTGTTGCTTTTCAAAAACAAAACAAGTATAAGCTAATGAAAAATTGCATCTATTACACAAATCTTCGGTAGCGGGATACATCTATGAAATTTTGGGTTTAGACAAGTGCAGTCTGTGTACTACTTTGAGTAGTACTACTTTGAGTAGTACTACTTCGGCACAAATTGATGAGTGAATCCTTGAAAATATGTCAGCCCATTCAGAATGTGTAATTTGTAAATTCATATATATATTCATATACATAAAAACATTTGATAAAATATCTAATTTACACACTCTTATATTATTATGCTAATAAATTGATTTCTATGTTGTTTTTTAAAGTAATGCATTACCAATAATGTAAAAAATAATGTTTTTAAGAATCAAAAGATGATAATTATTTTAGATAATTATTTAAGATGATAATTATTATTCGTTTTACAAAACATCTCATAAACACGAACTGTTTCAAAATTATTCAAGCCAGCCGGATTGAACCCCCTAATGACCTGGGTTTGGCCCACGCGCCGTATGTTTGACTGTAGATAGTTGGGCTGAAATAACAGATAATGAATAATTTAATTTTCATCAGTAGCCTAGTTAGTTCGCCTGTATTTGTGGCTGGCCAGTTCTTATGTCGGTACCGCTTATTAGTGGGTTTTTTTCACCTTCTGGTTCCCACAGTCAGTGTTTACTGCGTCTCTGCTTTCGTTTTGTCTCTTAATTCTATCGCTTCTCCTTGTCTTTCCATTGTGTGTGCCACCTCTAATATAGCCGCGTCGCAGGCTTTAGCAGCGAAAGGAGAAAGACAGAGAGGGAAAATGACTTCCGCATGTACTATCACAGAGGCCATAGCGGACATACTGGAAGATTTGTCTGAGCAAAATTTTGAAAAGTTTCGCCACTTGCTGCTGGACCGCAGGACTAACCCACGAATTAAACGTGGACGTGTGGAGGGTAAGAATTTTTTGGGTGTGACGGAAGTAATGGTATCAACCTTTACCGAGGACGGTGCACTCACGGTAACCGAGGAACTACTGAGGAAGATTGGCCTTAACGCGGAAGCAAATCATCTAGGTAAAATGTGTTTTGAGCTAAAATACTGGACCTAAATTAGTATTATACATATTATACTATACATCTTTTTTTTTTCTTTTTTTTTGTAGTTGAGGATACGAAGAATCTGTCAGTGGGGAAAGTATTCAGCGACGACCGGACAGTATTCAGCGACGACAGTAAGTTACGTGGCTAATGACAGTAGAACGGATAAAGTAAAATGTCTTACTTTTAAATTTAATGCTCTAGAATTTAAAGAAGTTTACATTAAAGTACGAAGCTCCATACAAAAACGAAAGTATTTTTATGTGCTATAAAGTTATTGAATATTGTAATGGCAATGTAATAAATAAGTGATCAGTGTAAGGGTTTC